TCCTTCCACAGGGATACCTCCAAAGTCCCACCATTTGTCACAGACTTGTAGCCACACATAAGAAACCGTAAACAGTGCGACTATATCACTACATTGCTGATACCATGATCATGTCTGATTCTCTTGCAAATTTAGAAGGGGCAGTTCCTAGACTGCTGCAACACCTACATGAGAAAGAATGGACTGTGAACAGCACCAAGAGTCAGGGACCTGGTTTGTCAGTAAAGTTCTTAGGGGTTGTCTGATCAGGTAAAACTAAAGTTACTCCTAGAAAACAGTCATAGACAAGGTCCAGGCTTTCCCCATCCCTACCACTATGGCAATGTTACAAGAGTTTTGGGGTCTTTTGGGTTACTGGAGAGTGCTTATCCTGCACTTGGCACAAATCCTGAAGCACTTATACTGGTTGGTACGAAAGGGCCACAGGTGGGACTGGGATGAAACGTGTAGCTGCTTTTACTGCTGCCAAGCAGGCAGTCAAGGCCATATAGGCCTTGAGTGTAATGGACCATCAAGGTCCTGTGAGCTAGATGTTAATATAACCAAAGATGGTTATGCGTGGAGTCTTTGGCAGCAGCTTGAATGGACACGCCAACCCACTGGATTCTGGTCACAGCTATGGAAAGGAGCAGAGGTCTGGTACACCTTGATAGAGAATCAACTGGCTACTGTGTACCATGCCTTGCTGGCTACAGAGCACATTATGAGAACAGCTCTGACCAAAGTAATTACTACCTATCCCATTGCAAGGTGGATGCAAGACTGGACCCAAAGGCCATGGAGTGGCATGGCATAGATGCCTACACTGGGCAAATGGGGAGCATATTTACAGCAGCATAGTGCCTTCTCTACTAGCCCCTTAAGTGGAGAACTCCAACACTTATTGGGGATAGTGACATATACCAGTGGAAAGCAGGAAGAACTTGCTTTGAGCCATTGGTAGTCGAGAGTCCTTATCAGGAGGGAAAAGCCCCTGTACCTGAAGATGCTTGGTATACAGAGAGCTCCAGTCACGGGCAGCCCCCAAGGTGGAGGGCTGTGGCTTTCCATCCTAAGACTGAGACAATATGGATGGAGGATGGAGAGGGGAAGAGCAGCCAATGGGCTGAGTTGTGGGCAGTATGGTTCATGATCACCCAGGAGCCCTCCTCTATACTTGTCTGCACTAACAGCTAGGCCATCTATTGGGGCTTGACCCTGTGGGTACTGACATGATACCATGCCAACTGGCTGGCTGGTCACCAGCCCCACTGGGGGCAAGACTGTAGTAAGACCTATGGATCTCTGGTCAGACTAAGACAGTTACTGTATATCATGTGACTGACCCTTTGCCTTTGGCAGCCTCAGGGAATGATGAAGCAGACACATCAACCCAGGTATGTTGGCTAGAAAGAAAGCCTACCTCTGATGTAGACCAATGGTTACATCAGTGATTGCTGCACGCAGGGCAAAAGACAATGTGAGTTGTAGCCTGTCAGTGGGGCAAACTGCTGACTTTTGCAGAAGTCAGCATAGCCTGAAAGGAGTGCTTTATGTGCTCTAAGAGGGACTTACACCGAGTTCCACAGGAACATGGGACAATAGTAAAGGGGCTGATATCCCTTGTCAGGAGGCAGATAGACTTATGTTTGGCCTCTGCCCATATCAGAAGGGTATCGGTATGCCATGACTTCTGTGGACACAGCTACTGGCCTATGGATTGCCTTTCCTGCACGACATGCAGATCAGCAAACTACAAAGAGGGGCCTGGAGCGTCTCTTTGCAGCCTATGGCCAGCCGCAGGTGCTGAGAGTGATCAAGGCACCCACTTTACTGGACACCTGTTACAAGAATGGGAGCAATTAGGAATAAAGTGGAAGTTTCATGTACCATATAACCCTACCAGGGCAGGCATGATAGAGAGGCAGCATGGTTTGTTGAAATCTGGCCTGAAGTCAGACACCAATAGTCCAAGGGGCTGGTCAGTTTGCTTATGGACAGTGCTACGGCATTTGAAAAGCCACAAAAAGGAGTCTTTAGCCCTGTGGACATGCTAACACACATTGCTGCCTCTCCTATACAACTGCATGTGCAAACCAAAGAGGAGTTATTGAAGCCAGGATATGGCCAGCAGAGCAACATCCTGCTGCCAGCCCCAATCGCATTAAATCCTGGACACACTGTTGAGTGGATGTGGCCGTGGACATTTGACACATGGACCAGTGATGGCTGGGCCTCTGGCACCTTGGGGAAAAGGCCTGGAAGCTGGCCTCCTGTGTATTCCTGGAATAACAGCAGAGTGGCCCCCAATGATCATGGCAGTGTACACAAAACATCTGGGCAGAAAGAGCATCTTACAGGGAAGTTTTGTTTGATCTTTATGGCCAGTGTATGTACCTCTCATAGTCCTATATACTGACCCATCTGTAAGTCCCACAGGGAAGGGGGTGAAGGTCTGGTATACTAGACAAGGATGAAATCCCATTCCTGCCACTGTCCTATCACAGGACCACTCTCTTGCATGTATCCTACCTGATGGACAAGATTTGTCTGTGCTGGTATCATTAAAGCATGTATCTTATTGCCCTTGTGGTTATTTTCTTCTATAGTTCCTGTGGCCTGGACCTGTCCCCTGGCTGCAGCTGCCACTTGATGATTACTCTGATCTCCCTACCCATTCACCTACTGCCTGCCTGTGGAATGGGCAGCTATGGACTAAATCTGCATAGGACTTTGAACCTAGCTGAATCCTCTGGTTTGAGGATTATCACGATTTTATTGCTGTTGTTATTGTATCTGTTTACAGTGCTCCAGTTTTCTCACACAGGGGCCATTGCAAAAGATGGGGAGTGAGTAGATTGTGAGGCAAGATTTCTGGAGTGGTGGGCTGTGGATAAAATTGCAATATTTCCAGAATCTCTTGCCTGGCCTTAGTGCATCTACATATTAATAGGTGTTGCCAAGGGATCGAGAATAGTCCATCTCCACTAGGTGATTAGAGGGATAATGAGGACATATCTGGACCCAAGAGGTTGGGGCGGTGGGTCCTGTTTTTGTAGCCAGGTTGTGAGAGACATGGGTGAGCAAAAGTGGATGACTGCTTGTAATAAATTATTATTATTATTATTTTTTGAGAGGGCATCTCTCATATTTATTGATCAAATGGTTGTTAACAACAATAAAATTCTGTATAGGGGACTCAATGCACAATCATTAATCCACCCCAAGCCTAATTCTCAACAGTCTCCAATCTTCTGAAGCATAACAAACAAGTTCTTACATGGTGAACAAATTCTTACATAGTGAATAAGTTCAGTAATAAATTATTTTATCCCACTTTATTTCTCCCTTTGACTGATTTTTGGCTTCAAAGGTATTTTGTCCCTGTGGGAACTTATTTGTTCCTCAGAGTTACAGTTACAAAACTACTCCATATTTAAAATTTGTGAAAAATCATTTCCTGGGTAATTGATGTCAGGTTTTATTTTGACTGAATTGTCTTGATGTCCAGCTTGTTTTTTTTACTAAATTACTTTTGGACAAATCGTTTTTACTAAAATCATCTCCAGGCAATCTATATGTATGTCGACTACAGGAGGGATTTTGATATAATTGGTTTGGGGTGCTGTCTAGGTATAAGATTTTAAGTTCCTCAGGTGATTTCAATGTTTAACCAAGGTTAAGAACACTGAATAAAGGGGTCCTGCACAAGGTTGTGGTGGGACTTTCCCCCAAAATCAAGATAAAGGCTGTTAAAGTTCCCATTTATGGACTTGTTTATCATTGCTCTTTGGAAGGAATGTTATCTCATTATCACATCATTTGAAGTCAAAGAATGCTAAAGAAAAGGCTCTTTACTTATCTTAATGTGAACCTCCAACCATGTCCTACAGTAGGTAGGGCAAATGCCTCTATTTTATAGGCATAAAAACAGGTTTACAGAGGTTAGAGGCTTTTTGCAAGACTTAGGTGAGGTGGTTGTATGCTAGTACCTATACCACTAACTGCTTACATTTCTCTTGGCACTTAATACACGGTAATCCATGCTATATGCTTACGTTTAGATCCTATTTCCTTACTTAGACTGTGTGCTTTTTAATCACCTGTTACTTCATTCATTCATTCAAGGTGCACTGGTATGTTTTATTTTTATTTTTTGTGTCATATGGGGTTGCAGTGAATCATGGTCCCTGCCTTAGTGATCTTATAGTCTAGTGAAGGAACAGGCAGTTAATTAACATCAAATTAACATAAAAAATGCTTGATGGTGGTAGTTTGCAAAGATGGGATCTACTTAATCCTTAATGGGGCTGGGGGGGTGGAAGGGAAAGGGGGTAGTAAACTCTACAGAAGAGAATGTAAAAATCTAAGCTGAAATTTGATGCATGAGTAGAATTTCCCCACATGAGAGAAGCTACCATACTCCCAAGTAGAAGGAGCAGCATGAAACTGAAGAGATAGTGAGTCAGCTGAAAATAGATCAAACAGCATCAGTGGTGGCCAACTAACACATAACATAAACTGTGCGGAGTGTGATAAATGAAACTGCTGGGGGCAGATCATAAAATAGCCTTGAAACTTCAGTGCCATATGAAGGAGTTTGAATCATCTTGAGGACAATGGGACACCTGTGTGGGGCTTTAAACAGGTCAAATCATGTACATACTTGTGTCTCTCCAGAGTGTCCTCTTGACCATCGGGCTAAGCTTCCACAGGCATTTCTGTAGTTTTGGAAGCGAGGATGGAAAATGTCCAAAAAGGTGATGTTTCAGCTTTGTGCCTCACAGGCCTTGGGACTAATTTGATGTTTGAAGGTACAAGAGAGGTCCCAACCATGACAGCTGGACTTGGCCATTTGGAAAGCAGCAGTACAATTACCTCAGTGATTACAGAATGAGGAGGGAAGCCAGACCAGTGAGAAATGATGGTTTGTTTTCAGACGTGCTGCATTTGAGGTGTCTGGCTTGCTTTTTAGAATTGCATTCCCCACCTTCAAGATATTCCATAAATATTTTAAAATTTATTATACTGTCCAAGCTTGTAAAGTTCACCAATCACCGTACTTTTGTAAATGACTAAAGTGTGAACCCCTATCAAATATACAAAATAAATCTAATGGGGACGTTAGCAAAAACACAGGTTTTTTGGTACCTAAGAGACAAGGTGATTGGCTTTCGAGCACGCGCAATACGTAACGATAGGCTCCCCCTCCCCGAATCCTCCAAGCGTCAGGAGTTGTTTCCCCCTGCTGGTCGGAACTGAGTAAGGCAACGCAAGGAGAGAAATTTTCTAGGGGCGTGTCAGCTGGTGGATGACGTAAGACCGGGCGTCAGGAGAAAGGAGGTTCTGATGCGTCAGTGGCGCGCGCCGTGGGAAAGCTGGCAAGCCTCATGGCTGCAGGTAGTTCAGAGGCTCCGCGGCCGAAGGCGGCCTCTGAGGGGCCGGGGGTGGGACCGGCCGGCGCCCTGCCTTGCCTCGAGCTGCCGACCTACGCTGCCGCTTGCGCCCTGGTGAACAGCCGCTACTCCTGCCTGGTGGCGGGGCCGCACCGAAGGCACATCGCGCTGTCGCCGCGCTACCTTCACCGGAAACGCACGGGTATCAGAGAACAGCTCGACGCTGAGCTCCTGCGCTATTCTGAGAGGTACCAGTCTCTTAGCCTTTCCTCCGCCGAGCGGACAACGCCGTAAAGTAGCCGTCTGCCCTTCGCTTGGGCTCGGGAGGGGCTCCGCGCGGGCGCGCTGATGGCGCAGCAGGAAAGGGGCGAATGGACGAGGTCTCTCCGCCCACCGCGAGCTCAGCCCCGAGGCGTTCTAGGGCTGAGCTCCTCCCGGAAAGGCCGTACCTCGCTGGTCAAGATTTGTGTAGGATCCTTTTCATAGGCGTGGAAGAAAACGTAAGGTGACGTGAATTGCGTGAGCGCAGGGGGTGGAGAGCTCGCTGCAGAACCCGGGTGTGGGGTCTGGAGACCCGAAGGCCCAGTTCTCTGTTTTTCCCTTTGACAATGAAGGTTGGACTGCAGTATTCAGTAGATAGTCTCTCATTCTATAGGAAATTGCACATAAAGCATTAGTACAATCATTTATTGGTAAACCGTGAAGGAGCAGTTTTTGATGGATGTTTTGCCCTGGTGTTTTCCCTGAGTTCCCTTCTCTTGGATCTGATCAGTGACGAGAGAAATAGTATTTTTATTTTGTTTTGTTTCTAAGAGCAGACAGTTTAGTCTGTCTGGCCTGCCTATTGCTCATAAGGGTGAAAAAACTTGGTGCATTCACATGAATATATTCAAAATAACTTGAAAATTTTAAAAACTACAAGTCTGGAGAGTCAGAGGGACGGGGCAGATGTACATCAATATTCCCTCTAGACTATTCTAGCTCAAAAGCAAGGGGTCAATTTAGGGTGAATGGATTCCCTGGGAACTTGTTACTGCTCTTTGGGAATTAAATGAACTCATAGAAATTGCAGCAATTTCCTATATAAGTTTTTTGGGCAAAGTATTCAAACTTTGACCGCTTTATCAAGGGATCCTGAACTCTACGCAGGTTAAGAATCAAGCAAATCTAGAATACATAGCTTCCTCCACGCACCAACACACACCTTTGTATACTAGAGACTTTTTGTTTTATGAAAAACAAAAAACAAGACCCCTGTTTCAAGCCGTTTTAAACTCTAATAGAGATATGGTTGGCTTTAGCTCAAGTGGTCACTTCTCCATGAATCACATCTAATAGGGATACAAATATAAGCTAGATAAATGTAATAAAGTGTTAGAATTTGACAGAAATCTAAAATAAGTTAAACCAAGACAAATTGTAAATTGGATCATAGGACTTTTGAAAACAATTGATGAGAGTATTTTCAGATGGTAGCATTCTAGGCAAAAAGAGTGGCATAAACAAATGGATAGTAGATGTGAAATAGAATGCTTTGACCAGAGAATTGTAAGTATGGCATAACTGGAGTAAGGTTTGTGTCAGGAGAGGAGGGGAATGGGTCACAGATGGGGTGTTTGCTTATGTAGGATTAGCACTTACTCTTCTCAATACCCTCCTACTCTGAAACTTGGCACACTTTTGAAATAGTACATATTCATAATCTCTGGGACATAATTAGATACACAGTTTAAGAAAGGCACTTGGTAGCATTAGATGATGGTTTAAGGAGGGTGAGACAGTAGACATGGAGACCAATTAAGAGATTGTTATAATTGTCCAAGAGAAGAAAGTAGAGAGGACTGATTTGAGAGATTTAAGGTTTTTACAAGGTGATTATAAAATCTGGAAACGCAGGCAACAGTTTGCTATGTTTTATGATTTTTTGTAACCAGTTAATGCCTTCACTTGACGGCTTGGGGAAAGTCACCCAGAGTGGGTCCAGCAGGAGCCATTATACGAAAAAGATGAGGAACTGATTGAATGATAATTTCTGTAACGGCATTGGACAGTGTGGCGTGTAGAGCAGGTTCCACTCCACACCCCCTATTACTTGTGGCTTATGTTAAAGACTTCTGTTTATTCAGTGCAAATCAGACACTACACATTAAATTATGCATTACTAAGGAGGGACACAATATTGGACCTGTCAAAAACTGTAATATCAACCATTTATCATGTGTTGTTATTTATGTTTCTAGATTTGGGGGCCATCTGTAGAATCAGGACTTGCTTCTTTTGATTAAGAAATGAGGAAAGGGGAGGAATTGAGAATGGCACTCATTCTAGTGTAAAAATTATCTCAGCAGCTATCCCCTATTTGCACTATCCACCTTTTTTTCCCAGTGACAGAATTTTTTAAAGACATCCCATTTCAGTTTTGGAAAGTCTGCTTAAAGAAAGTAAGTAGTTTTCTAAAATCATGTGACTTTGACTAAGTTATATCTTTGAGAGGCCATTAAGAAAATCTTCTCTCTTGTATATGACAACTGAGTTATTTGAAAGTGGCAAATATGTTCCCTTCTAGTAGTCCCAAAGAAGTCTTAAATAACACAATCTATTGTTCTCTACATATCTCAGGTGAGACTTCCACCCCGCACTGAAACCTACTTAGGATGGTTTTAGGAAAACAAAAGTAAGCAAGATAGATAGATAGCACTGAGATGTCTGTCTTTGTATCTCTGATGACCTTTTAGTAAATTTCATGCTCTGAGTTGCCTTCCCAAAGGTTTGATGGGTTTATACAAATCCTTTTGGCTCAGCCTCCCTGGTCGCATTCTCTCTCTAGTCAGCAGTATTTACACTTCCCAAACCCAGTACCTCTCTCTGGTAAGAAATATTTTGCAGTACTACCTTTACCATCATGAAAACTCTTCACTGTGCTGAAGTGAAACTTAATGATAATACAACTTATGTACACAATTGCAAAATATATATATATATATGTAGTGCTCTGATACAGTACATTAAACTGGTAATTCTCAAGCATGATGACCTGGGAAACCTGAAGTAGATGTCTCCTGCTCCTTTATTAGATTCATTGTGTCAATGACAAGTGTGGATCATGCAGGGGTTTTCAGTTGACAGCTCAGATAACACACACAGTGTCTCCAATGGTGAAATGATTTTCTGAAATAATGACAATCTCAGTAAAGTTCCATACAAAACAATCTACTTTGAATTTATTTACAAAAATTTTAACTTACATTAAAACTGTGCAAAGATGACTTTATGTTGATTTTTTTCTTTTAAGTTAGATTCTGTGTCCAGCTATTTATAAATAGGTCTGTCCCTTCATTCAGAAGCTCTGTAGAGCTAGGGACATTTCTACCTTGTGCAGGACTGTTCGGTACATGGCAGAATGTCTTCTGTCCCTGGTCTTTGATGACTGATTAATACAACAAATTCCCAAATGCCTTGTAGAATATTTCCCCCACCAGAAACTCACTCTCTAATCATTGATGAGGGGAAACACTCTTAACTTTGATTTTCTGTCAAATGGCAGAAACTTTTCTTCTTCCCCCTCCTTCTTACTCTGTAACTCTGTTATCTGTGCCCGATATTGTCTTAAATGATGGTTTAGCTCCTGCTTACCAGGAAAGCCATGCAGGCAGAAATTAACAACTCAAAAGAGTGCTTTTCAGAGTAAGTCTCTGAGTTTATAGTTTTCTGAATTTGGTAGTTACAGTTATTGAAGTTTTTTCCAGTGGCTCCTGGCTTTTTTACTTAAACAACAGCAATTAGGGATAAATTCTTCCTTTATTCTACATGAATCATAGAAATTTGAGTTAAAAAAATGCTCTGTACTCTCAACGGCCTCAGACTCCTGTGTGAAATCCAAACATACATACATACAGATTCAATAAAATGAGATTGCCAACAGTAAGCACGTTGTAATATGGAATAGTTCTGCAGGAGTAGAGGGGGAGTGATTCAGCCTTGCCTCGGGGAGTCAGGAAAGTTTTCCTGAACAAGTAGTGATATGGTAATGAAGCCACCAGTACTGCCTCCTTAGTAGTGTAATTCCTTAAGAACATAAGTATAACATTTTGAAGTAGTAGTTGCCCCCTTATCTTGACTGTCAAACATGTAAAGTGTCCAGTCAGTTCTTAATAAATGATATAGTTGTATTTCTTAACATTTCCATTTCCTAGCAACAGTTACATTTTGGGGATTTCTCTCATTAAGTCATTGGCTTCAATCTTCAGGATGTAAGCTTTAACCCTAATACTTCTCTTGCTATATGCCATCCAGTACCAAAATTCAGTAACGGTGAATAATACCCAAATTGCCTTGATTGAGCCATACTCACAGAAGTACACAGACATTTTTCATGCCAAGTCCTATTTTTTTCTCTCATTGTAGCATAACTGGAATTCACATGAGTAGCAAATAGGGAAGAAGGGTCAACTTGTTGCTCATGCATAATTTTGTTTCTGGGTGCCAATTGTGAATAGTCATTTTTTAACTTGGCCAATATATTGGAACCCTTTGAAAGTGGACTAGTAAAGTACAGATAAATCATATGCTATCATGTTTTTAGCATGGGTGGTGATATTTAGGAGATGTATTACTTTTTAGATTCAGAATAGCTAATCAGTACTACAATGGCCTCATTTAAAAGAGGATAAACATAATTTTTCTTCTTTCTTTATAGCCTTTTAGGTGTCCCCATTGCATATGATAATATCAAAGTAGTAGGCGAACTGGGAGATATTTATGATGATCAAGGACACATTCATCTTAACATTGAAGCGGATTTTGTTATTTTCTGCCCTGAACCAGGACAAAAGCTTATGGTATGTATATCTTTTTATCTAGCTTTCCTTTTAAACTTATATAATTATGTACTTTGGAAAAATTTTAAGAGCCAGTACACCTTAGGATTCAAATAGGTTGGTATTGTGGGTAACTAAAAATTACTTCAAAATGAAAATGAAAATTACTTTCCATCAGTTCAGTCTAGGTGAATTTTTAAATTCTATCCTCCTGAAGCTCAGACGCATGTACAGAGTTTGTGTCCCATCCAATTTATTCTTTTCTGTGTTTAGCACCAGAATGGTCTTAAGGGGTAAAAAGTCAATTTTTATTATTTTACAATTTCTCAATTATACAAACACAGTTTCTTTATAAAAGATTCAAACAGTATAGCAGTATATAAAACAGTAGTTGCAAATTCAAATGGTTGCAGGACCAGGCAGATAATGAAAATGAATGAAGGATGGGGCAGGGTATCCAAACTGATAGAAATGAAGGACCTGTGAGAAGGGTCTTAAAGTTTTTCAAGAGAAGCTGGGAATGCAGAAATTGATCTGAAATCTAGTAAAGCCTATCCTTTTATCCTCCTCACTTGCCCCTCTCTTCCAGCAGAAGTTCTGTATGTGTGTGTGTATGTATGCTTATATGTGTATATGTAGTTTTATGTACATGTATATATTTTGTTCTTTAAAAAAGAAAAATTTTTATAGGAATTACTTAACCTAAAGATAAGAACTGTTAACTGACTATTGATACTGTTAATAAAAATATAGGTCAAATTTCGCTATGACAAAATATACAAGGCATTCCTAATTTAAAAATTTTTTCAATATTAGTTACACTGGTAGAAATAGTATCCGTGGCCTGCCAAACTGTGATCCTTCAACCAGCTTCCATACTGTTAAGTTGGCAGTAGATTTGTATTTTAAAATCCCCAAACTTAGCTGTCAATGTGCTTTGTGAAATTATCATAAATGTAAATATATGCATGGAAATAAGTTGTATAGAAAGTATGAAATAAAAAGTAAAACTATCCTTTTTGCTCTGTCCTCTACAACATGATCTGGACCTCAAATACACTTGACCAGTTTTCCCTATTGTGTGTTTGTTTTTAATAATATGAGATATAATTTATGTACAATAACAATTTATACATAATAAAATTATCATGCACAGACCATAGCATGCAGTTAAGTAAATTTTGACAAGTGCATATACCATTCTGTTTCCTTAGAAATGACCCTCATGCCCTTTCCTGGTCAATCCTCTCTATCTTACATAAAACCATTATTCTGATTTTATTTATCATAGATTAGTTTTGCTTGTTCTTAATTCTCTAGTAATAGAATGTTTCATTATATACTTTTAAAATCTGGCCTCTTGCTTAGCATGATTTTGAGTTTTATCTCTGCTGTTGGCATGTATTGGTAGTTTGGTGGTTTGTTCCTTTTTATTGCTCATGGTATTTCGTTATAATAATACATCACAATTTGATTTTACATTTTCACTGATGGACATTTGAGTTGTTTCCATTCTGGAGCTATTAAGGATAAGGCTGTTGTGAACATATGTTTTCCTTTCTCCTAGGTGAAAAACTAGAAGCAGTATTGCTAGGTCACAGAAAAGATGGATGTTTAACTTTATGAAAAACTAGTTGGGCTAATTTCCCATTCAGCTCTTCCAGTTGCCTTGCATCCTTGTCTACATTGGTGTTGTCAGTCTTTTAATCGTACTGGTGGGCATATAGTAGTTTCTCATTGTGGTTTTAATTTGTTTTCTTTATGAGGTCCTTTTCAAGTGTTTCAATGGGAAGGGTCTGTTGAGTATTTTGCCCACTTCAGTGGGGTTTTGCATTACTATTGAGGTGTAGTAGTTCTTTTTATAGTTTTTAAATCTTTTTTTCAAATAAATGTATTGTGAATTTTTTCAATGTAGCTTATCTATTAGCTTTTAATGGAATCATTTGCCAAACAGAAGCTTTTGATTTTGATGAGGTCCAATTTATCATGTTATACTTCTGTGGTTATTAATTTCTAGACCCTATGTAAGACCCTTGCCTACCCTTAGGTTGTGAACATACTCTTCAGTAAGCTTCTAGGATTTTTGTAGTTTTTAGATTTTTCATTTAGGTCTATGATCATTCTGAATTTTTGTGAGCAATGTGAGATAGGCCCTTGAGATCCATTTTCTTTTCTGTATAGCTTTTCCAGTTGTTCCAGACTTATATACTGAAAAGACTTTCCTTTTCCCATTGAATATTTTGATATATATAATAGGCTTTATTTTTTTATATAGTTTTAGATTTATAGAAAAATTGAGTGAAGAGCAATTGAATAACCTCTCCTCACCCGTCCGCCCCAAAACACACACAAATATACTGCTTTTCCTATTGTCATCTTGAATTAGTGTGGTACATTTGTTGCAGTTGTTGAGCCCATATTGATACATGATTATTAAATAAAATCTAGTTTACATTAGAGCTCACTTTGTTTTATACATTATGTGGGTTTTGATAAAGGTATAATGAATGGCATGTATCCACCATTACAGTATCCTGTAGAATAATTGGTAACTGCTCTAAAAATCCTCTGTGCTGTACCTATTCATCCTTCCCTCCCTTCCCTCTAAAACTCCCCAACAACTACAGATCTTTTTATCGTCTCCGTAGTTTTGCCTTTTCCAGAGTGTCATAGCTGGAATCTTACTGCATATAGCCTTCGCAGACTAGCTTCTTTAACTTAGCAGTATTATTTAAAGTTCCTTCAAGTCTTTTCATGGCTTAATAGCTCATAGCTCTTTAGTGCTGAATAATATTCCATTGTATACATGTATACATGTATCTAGACCATCCAGAAGGTACCACTGGGGATGCCAGATCCTGATAATGACAGACAAGAAAGTTTATTTTTGTCACATACATAAGGAGATGCTGACATTAAACAGCATTGCATATATGTTAATATTACCTATAGTTCTAAAATTTTAAATGTGACTTTAAAAAAAGTTTCATTCATATACCTTATATATGTTGATTCCTAGGGGAACAATAGAGAACTATTTTGGAAGATTTCATTTTAAACTTGAAATGATATAGCACATTAGTTTTAAAGTTTCTAATAGTGTTTTTGTGATTTAGTCAAAATAACCATGCTCAAGATTTACATATACAAGGTAGGCTGCCCTCTAATAGTGCTGTTTAATTGTTGAAGAATGCTCTTTAAGCTTTAAATTCAGACCACTTATAGAAATATAATGTGGATACTAGTTATAAAAAGCATATGCTTCCTGCTTTGAGGTATTTTAACATGTAGGTCATGTTAGAAAGTATTTTCTGCTTGGTGTCAATGTGGTTATTGAATAATATCCTCACCTGCAGTAGGAGCTAGGGTGTATTTGTGGGGTAGGACGAGATCCAGTTAGGCAATTGATATGCAGTTACTTATCTGATAAAGTTTGAGCTTTCCAAAATCTCTACAATGCTCCAAAATGATGTTTAGTATAACATGTGGTAAATTTTAATTGAAATAAACTTTTCCATATTAAATTATACCATTATATTGGTGTTTTCTCTTTGAAATCAGTTTGAAGTTTGTAAGGTTAGATTCACCTTTTAACTCTTTGGATCTCTTCTGATGCTATACTTCTTCTCCCTAGGGTACGGTTAATAAAGTGTCTTCCAGCCACATTGGCTGTTTAGTACATGGGTGTTTCAATGCCTCCATCCCTAAACCTGAGCAGATGCCAGCTGAGCAGTGGCAGACCCTGGAGATAAACATGGGTGATGAACTAGAATTTGAAGTATTTCGTTTAGACTCAGATGCTGCTGGAGTTTTCTGCATTCGGGGAAAACTAAATGTCACTAGGTCAGTTCTTAATCACATTACATCATTTTGATACTTGTTTAATTCTGAATTTAGAGATCATAGCCCCATTTTTTAAAAATTAATTTTGTTTATAAGAATATTCATGCTTTCAAATCATAATATCAGTATAAATTGGAATCTTAAGTGCTATGACTTAAGTGCATTGAATATTCTAAAGCTCTGCATCTAGCTAGCTGGTCTATATTTAATAACTCAATTTTGCTGAGTATATTCTGTGTTTTTGTTAATTTTTTAAAAAGTTGATCCCTGAGCTTGAAACTACCAAAAGCTAAATCATGTCTGTTAGCCTGCTTTTATTTTTACACAGTTGAAATGAAAATAATTTGGTTATTGTCATTATGTCCACTAGGTAATTTCTGTATGTTTCTGTATTAAATTATTAGAAGAATTCCTCTAATCTGGAGCTTGATTCCATGAGAGGCAAGTTTAAGGGGGGGAAGAAAAATACCTCTTGGAATACTGCTGGTGTTAACTGTTTTCCATATTGTGCCTTGATAAATAACAAGAGTATGGGTTAAAGTTCTAGAGCAGCTGCCCAGTAGAACTTCCTGTGATGATAGAAATATGTTGTTTTTGGGCAATACAATAACCTAATGTGATGAGTGTGACTGAGGAATGGAATTTTTAAAGTCATCTCACCAAAATTACTTAATTTAAATAATTACATATGGCTAGTGCTTCTGTATATATAGGACTGTACAGTTCTAGAGAAAGTGCTTCGTTGATCCTTGTTTTTATTTTAGTGATAGGAAATAATTCATACCTTTGAAGTTATGCTACTTCAGCATAGGCTAAGAACAATGAACTATTATTTGAAACAAGGATTGAGACAGTAGACTGGAGACTCCATTACTTTGCTAGATACCAGAAGTATATTTTCTGTCAAAAGGCAGTGGTTTGGCTAAGAGGCTTGGATATTGTGATGTTTAATGTTCAGTGACCAAATTTTTCTTAACCAAATAAAAATCTAGAAGCCATGTTTTCACAAAATTTTTGTGTCATTTTTGTGTGTACTGAGAGAAGCACTTTAGAAACAAAAATTTTAACATTTCTAAGACATTTCATGGGCAGAGGATAATAGGATAGAATATTTGAAATTTGTGCCATCATTATGTTTCTGATACTACTGTCATTTAGAAACATCTAGCATGTTGGGATATACTTGATCTCACTTTGTTCTTTTATTTTTGCTTATTGCTCTGTAAATTTTTTAAACTGTTAATTTACAGTGTACAAACCAAGTGTTCTGTACCTGCTGAAGAAGTAACGGAAACTGGTACCGAAGAAGCTGTTGGAAAACCTCCAAAGAAGAAAAAGAAGAAGAAGAAAGCCCCAGAGCCATGTGAAGCGGAAGGTGGTAGCACAGCTGGTGTTTCAGATGTCACCATGAAGGAAGAATCAGATCTGCAGAGTAATGATAATGTGAATGGCCTCTGGGAGGAGGAGCCGAGGAAGAAGAGGAAGAAGAAGAAGAAGCAGGACGAGCAGGATCCTGTTTTCCATGGCAGTGACTCCAGTGGCTACCAGAGTGACCATAAAAAGAAAAGAAGGCACCGTGAGGAGGCTGAACTTACCCCCCTGGTGGAACGCTCCCATAAAAAGAAAAGGGAAAAGTAATTTTCTTCAGTGCATTTTAAATATGGTTCCATTTTTAAAAGATTGATTTACATACAACAGATGAATAAATATTTGAATGCTATGAAATGCTTATACTTTTTAGTAGTTTGCAAAACAGGAAACATTGATAGGGAGTTGAGTCTTTGGTGCTAAAATTATAAAACTGGTAATCTGGGAAATACCAATATTATTAAAGTGCAATTTTATTGTATACAGAATAAAGTAGGAGCTGATTTCACTCTCAACTCTAATAGTCTTCCAACTTTTTTATTATTAAAGTGCAATTTTATTGTATACAGAATAAAGTAGGAGCTGATTTCACTCTCAACTCTAATAGTCTTCCAACTTTTACATTGTAAATAAAATTATTTCTACAGTGTCAAGACTAACAAAAGGACTTATAGTGTTACTTTTATCATTAAAAAAGGAGTTTGAGCTAGGGTTTTTTTTTTTAATAGCTTTCACCTTTAGTCATAATATTACATGCCATTTGAAACTGCTTTTTTTAAAATTCAAGGCATTTGCCTGTTTTAGATATTCCTTTATCATGGGTACTGCAGTATTGCTGTGGTTTACCTTAGAAAAAGGAGCTTCTGAAGTTGCCAAAGATCATCACAACTGTGTCGCTACTGACCGGGTGGCAGGAAACCATCCTCACTGTTCTCCTGGGTGAGTTGGTGGAGAGGGCATTCGCGTGTCCATATCTGTTCATTTGTGCCTCAACCATTATGCTTTTGTTGTGTTGGAGGAGTCGTTTGATGAAGACAGGGTAAAATGAGTTTGACTAGTGGGGAATTCTTCAATTGCTTTGTAATAATTGGATTAGGTTACTAGAAATTACTCTGAAAACAGCTGTTCACTGCTGTCACTGAGAAAATATGCACTATGTCCTAACTAATGGAAAGCACTGATAACAGAAATGACAAGCTGGTTTAGGCTGCTAGTCAAGGCATGGTCATATTTATTCATTTAACATGTATTTGACCATCTGCTACATGTAATATAATACATTCTACCAAGGTCCAGGGATATAGTAGCAAACAAAGTAGATGTACTTACTTCCCTCATAGAGTCTCATAGGAGAAACAGATGCATACAAATACAATGTAAGTAAGAACATACAGAAAATTAGTCATTGTGATATATCCTACAAAGAAGAAAATTGTCCACTCACCGTTAGTTGTGTTACTGTCTGTAAAACATGTGAATGACTGAACTCCACATGACAGTGATTTATCCAGTATCAGACATACTACTGGTCTCACATTGCTCAATTTTTGTTAATTACAAATCTGCTAGTAATGTATTTTGATCCAAATCTATAAAACTAGAATCTAGACTTTGCAGAGTGACAGACATTCACAATGTTTATCTACAAGTAGGTTGCCAGATGGTGGAAAGATGCAGGCCAATGTCGTGCCATATAGCTTCTTTTGATGTGGGTTTTGAGCCCTTGAAATGTGGCTAGTCAGAATTGAGATGTGGTGTCAGCATAAAATACACAACAGATTTTGAAAATGTGCCAAGAAGTAAAATAATTCAATTTTCTATATTGGCGTAATTATTTTTTGGAATTATGGGTTAATTAAAATGTTAAAATTTAGGGTTTTTTCAGTTTGTTTTTTACTAAAAAAGATTAAAAAGTTCAATAAGGTTCACATTTTTTCTTTTGGACAGCACTGAGGGTGAGTCAAAAAAGGTATAAAACAAGCTAGATTATATTCTTAGGGATTAAGTTAGTGGTAGTCCCAGGAAATGTTTCATAAATGCTTCCTTAAACATTTTAAGTTTGAATACATAATTGTGATTATGTCTGACTTTTATATATAGGAAATCAGTTTACGTGAAATATTTCTAAATCCCCCCCTCATAAATGCCAAGGAAGCTGGCAACTTTATGTTATTAATGAAAAATACATTGTGGCTTAGCAAAAGAGGCAAATTCCCATGTTATTTGTATTTTGCTTAACTTGGTACTTTTGTCAATCAGGTTGTATTACAAATTAATTTGCACTTTTTTAAGAAAACATGCTAAACTTGAAACTAGATTTACTCATGCTTTTTCACAATGTGAGTAGCTTTGAAAAGGCATATATAGTTACTTGCTTTGCCTAGAATACAATGACTGTTTTTTTTTATCTGATACAAAGTTCTGATGATGCCCTCTGTATAATTCTTCAAAATATTTGTCACATGCTATGTTAACAAAGGTGCTATCTTCTCTCACAATTTGCTTTATTAAAATCCTTTGGCCTAGACTAGACCCCTTTATCCTCTCCAATTCCTATTATTCACTAACTTTGTAAGACATCTCATTAGTCATTGGAAACAGATGATGTAAACAGTAATTTATATTTATTTGATTATTAGTGAGCTTGGAACACTTGTAAGTTTACTGTCTGTGCATTTATTTTCTTGTGAATTGCTCTTCATATCCTTTTATCACTCTCATAGGATGTTTTTCTGTTTATTATTTTTAACAGCTCTCTGAATATTAGGGATTATGTATTTTTCTATTCATGTTCTATTTTTTAAATCTGTTATATTTTAACTGTCATTTGCTGTTCACAATGTTTATTTTACATAATTACCTATTTTGAGTTTATCTTAGTGTTTTCATAAAGGCACTTCCATCCTAACATTGTAAAATACTCATACTTTCTTCCAGTATTTCTACTTTTACTTTTTTATGTTTAAAATTTTAGCCCATCTGGAAATAGAGTATGGTTTGATACAGGAATTAATTTTTTCTCCAATTGATGTTCATATGTTCCCAAACTATTTTCTGATTAATCCACAATTTCTCTGTAGATTTGAAGACCTATATTAGTTTACACTACATTCCACAGACTTTAAATAAGTCCTCCTGTTTCTCTTTTGATGTACTTATGGATTCTGGTACAGAACCACACTGTTTGTTTAGAATGTGGTAGGCAGAATTCTTAGATGGCCCTTGTGATTTTCCACCCTCCTAATCATAACTGGAGATGAAGAATTTTATTCCACTGGTTATTATTATGTTATCTTACATTATACTTATTATATTATAATGTATAATACAGCACAATTGGCTTTAAGAAAGAGATGATCTGGGTGCCCTTAACCTTAATCACATGAGCCCCTTACAATCAGTTTTCTCCAGCTGGTGGCAGAATTGAAATTTGCAGCTTGAGAAGGATTTGTTGGAAGGGAGAATCTCCCTTAGTGAAGATGAAGTGACAATGTGGCAAAGGTCTGAGCAGCTGAGAGCTACCCCTTGCCAAAAGCCAGCAGGAAAACAAGGACCTCAGTCCTGCATCCATAAGGAATTGAATTATACCCATGATATTGGAAGATTTTCCTCCAAATTCTTAAGATGAGAATTCAGGCAACTAATACCCTGATCTCAGTCTTAGAAAATCCTGAGCAGATAAACCACCCACACCTGCTGGACTTCTAACTTAGAGAACTGTAAATTGAGTGGATATTCTTTGAGGCCAGTAAGTTTGTGGTAATTTGTTAAATAGCAATAGGAAAGTAATATGCATAATTCTGGAGTAAAACTTGATAGCTGGTTAAAATACATTATTATGTACTTTTAAAATTTTATTAGCTCTATCAGCAGACTTCTCAACAGAGACTACAGGGCAGAAGGGAATGGCATGATATATTTAATGTACTGAAACAGAAGCACATTCAACCAAGAACCCTCTACCCAGCAAGATTATCATTTAAATTTGAAGCAGGTATTAAACAATTTCCAGATAAAAGTTGAAGGGATTTGCCACCACCAGCCTTAAAGGGACTACTGTAGATGGAAATGACCCTAAAATTAAATAGCTTTCACCAATAACAATAAACCCACAGTAAAGGTAGTAGACCAATTACCAAGCAAGTATGAAATTAAACCAAAAAAAGCAAAATCAGCTATATACAAAATCAATGAAGGGATACACAAAAAAGTGCTGATTATGACATCTATCTAATATGAAAAATGTGGAGGAGAAGGAGGAGAAAAAATGTACCTTTAGATTGTGTTTGAAATAAGAGTAATCAGCAACTTAAGATAGACTATTATATAGTAAGGAAGCTGCCTTTGAACCTTTGGTAACAACAAAATTAAAGCCTACGATAACAAACCCACAAACAAATAAATAATAAATTCTATTACAACACTAAAGGAAACCATCAATAACAAGAGAAGAGTAGAAGAAAGGAACAGAGAGGAGCTATAAAAAACAGCCAGAGAGGGGGCGGAGCCAGTATGGCACCATGAGTAGGACAGTGGGAATCTCCTCCCAAAAACATATTTTTGAAAATACAACACAACTAGCCCTAAAAGAGAGACCAGAAGACACAGGACAACAGCCAGACCACATCCACACCTATGAGAACCCAGCGCTTGGTTAAAGGGGTAAGATACAAGCCGAAGCCTGGTGGGACCCGAGACCCCTCACCACAGCTCCCAGCAGGAGGAGAGGAGTCGGAGTGGGGAGAAGGAGCCCAGGACTGCTAAACAACCAGCCCTAGCTATCCGCACGAGAGCACAGACACACAGTGCATGTGTGGGGTGCTGGAAACTAGGGAAGCAGGACAGTAAGACCTGTGAGCGGGTCCTGCAACCAGTGCCCCTGGGACAAAGTAAAGCGAGTGCTTTTTGAAAGTCTTAAAGGGACAGGGACCGCACAGCTGGACGGAAGCATCCCGGATCACAGTCCAGCACAGTTCCAGGGAACTCCGGGCGCACTAACCCACTGGGCAACAGCTCTGAGAACCCTCACAGAGGTAAACAGCCAAACAGCCCCTCGTCCATTAACCCTCTGGGGCCCCGCCATAGCAGAGCAGCAGACTGAGGCTGGCCACGCCCACAGCAAGGGAGCTTACTCCATACCGGCAGGCAAGATACAGAGACCCAGTCTACATGCAATTGCCCAACACAAGCCACTAGGGGACGCAGTTGTCCTAGTAAAGAAAGGCCAGGAGTAACTGGAAAGAATGTTGGCTCTCCTAGC